ACTGGATGACTAGGAGAGAGACAAACTCTGAGTTAGGACGTATTAGAAAAAATCAATGACACAGCTCCAATGTGTAGAAACTAGAAAGTAGGATGGAACTAACAGAGAGGATCTGATCATGTACAATGAAAACCCACAATAGCACCAGTGCCGACTGATGAGCACAAAAATTCAAGTAGAATGCTCAAAAAGGACAAGAACAGTGTGAGACCAAACATCCGATCTAGCAATAAGAACAGCAAGAAAATTAAACATAGGGCAATCAAAGTATAATTTACATGATTAGCAGCATGCCCATACCCGTGGAACTAATAAACTTTTCCAACCCCAACTCTCAAATTTATAAATACAAGATAGATTCCTAACAAAACAAAATGTCCTCCAACAAAATTAACGCTACTAAATTTCAGGCAATTACGGTAAAACTTGGAAAGTTGTGATCATAACACAAGGGGGTTTCTCAAAGTAAATTCAATTATCTTCTTTGCTAAATTAAAAGAAACTTAAATAGCTCAGCAAACTCATTATCAGATAGTGAATTAACACAAAGTAAACCTGGATGTGCAATGTTAACATACATTTTTTTGCAATTTCGTAGTAAGCAGTGGTTGAGAACATCAAACCTTTGGAGGTTCACAGCATGTAACGAAATGTGTTGGGAAACGTGCAAATTTTTAAAACTTTTTGAGGGATTTGCAATCATAGATCTTGATTCATTACATGGAGACAAGTTTTATGCAAAGATAAATAAAAGATGATGCATAATTCAATAAACAGATTGAATACTTACATCAAAGGTCTGAGTAAACCTTTTGAACTTTCCTCTAAAGTGAATGTTCTCACTTATTGTAGATCTCTTTAGCAAGATCCTTTCTTCTTCTTTTTGATTATTATCTTCCCTTTAGGAATCACCAATATGCCTTGATGAATGACCTTGGAATCTAGGCTGGTGGTAGCCTCCTTTAGAAGAGAAACAAAACCCTAAAATCTAGAGAGATAAAGTGTATTCCTTTTACTTGTTCTCCAAGTCACACCTAAAATATACATGAACTCATGTATATATAGGCAAAATAAAAATAAGAATAAGGAAACAATAAATCATTCTCCATCTCTAATTCAACTTTCTCAATCCTAACATGACTCCAATATCAACTTGGGCTATTGGTGAGAATCCTCTTGGGCTTACTATTTTCTTGGCTCTTATAAATTAATAATTGGTCCGGTCCATTAAACCATGGACCCAATTCAATTAATTCATAAATTAATTTCTACTCCACTAAAAGAAATTAATTGCACTCCAATTAAATAGTAAATAATCTCTAAGTCAATGTTGCACTTTGACCCCTCTATGCTTAATTATTTATCGGATAATTAAAGCCGTCAATCCGACAACATAATTAATATAATTATTTTGTTACCTTTGATTATTTCCGGTTCGATCACAATAAAATATTTATTTGACAAAAAATAATAATAATTTATTAAATAAATATATATATAAAACATTTGTCTAAAACATACGAAGGCCTTCGAATTTAATTTGTGATCAACCATAATCAAAACAAAATAAATACAAATAGCACTGATGCAAATATTGAGAATATAGACCTCTAATTATTAATTACATAACTACCCAAAGTGTCGATCTAAGGATCCCGAGGTATCCGCCGAACAAATCAAAGTAATTATTAATTAATAAAAGAGTCTATACTTCTCTCATGCTTGAGAGTCAAAAACCATGACTGTGATAGAGAGTAATTGCATACGACAGCTCTCGCAATATATCTCAATCTATCGTAGACCCGGTTTAAGTCTTAACTAATTAAATGTCCATCCATAATTACCGACTTTAAACCATTTATGATTACTAATTTATATCATAGTATTAATTGCCATTACATACATATATAAATATATTTTGTAATCAAGCGGACACCATCAATTCCATAAAGAATCGAAAAATAATACATTCCATTCACCAATTGTATAATGCTTTAATAATAATATCCAGACAAGAAACCATGACTTTTACAATCCAAAATTAGAATTTGCTATGCTAGGGCACACATATCCTAACAGCTCCCACTTGCACTTATAGCCAATTCAAATCACATCTAACTCCCATGTTCTCCATATGACGATCAAACATCTTGATCGGTAAAGCCTTTGTGAATGGATCAGCAAGGTTATGTTCCGATGCAATCTTGGCCACAAGTATATCTCCTCGCTTTACTATATCACGAACCACATGATGTTTCCTCTGAATGTGTCTTGTTCCTTTATGAAATTTTGGGTCCTTGGTTTGGGCTATAGCTGCACTATTATCACAATGAAGCGTCATAGGCTGATTTATATGCTCCACAACCTCCAGTTCAATTAGAAAGTTTCTCAACCAAACAGCTTCTTTTGCTGCCTCAGAGGCTGCAATGTATTCTGCTTCCATGGTTGAGTCAGCAGTACAACCCTGCTTGACACTCTTCCAACTAACTGCCCTTCCATTGAACTTAAACACATATCCAGATGTAGATCTCCTGGCATCTGGATCTGATTGAAAATCAGAATCCGTATATCCGACTGGAACCAGATCATCACCTCCATAAATGAGCATTAGATTCTTAGTTCTTCTAAGGTATTTTAAGATATTCTTCACAGCTGACCAATGATCAAGTCCAGAATTGGACTGATATCTACTGACAATCCCTACCGAGTAGCAGATGTCCGGTCTGGTACAGACCATAGCATACATGAGACTACCAACTGCCGAAGCGTATGGTACCCGCCTCATTTGCTCAATTTCCTTATCAGTCTTGGGAGACTGGTCATTAGAAAGAGCCAACCCATGTCTAAATGGCAAAAACCCTTTCTTAGAGTTTTCCATTCCAAACCTGATCAGAACTTTGTCAATGTAAGACTCTTGAGACAAGCCTATTTTCTTTTTAACCCGATCTCGCATAAGCTTGATCCCAAGAATATAGCTTGCTTCTCCAAGATCTTTCATCTCAAATTTATTGAACAACCACCTTTTGACTGATGACAATGCTTCTACATCATTACCAATGAGCAAGATGTCATCAACATATAAAACGAGAATCATGATGACATTACCCTGTTTTTTCTTGTAAACGCAAAGTTCAAACACGTTTTGTTCAAAGCCAAATAATTTGACTGCCTGATCAAAACAAATGTTCCATGTGCGTGAAGCTTGCTTAAGTCCATAAATAGACCTATTCAACTTACATACACAGTCCTCATGACCTTTAACCACGAAACCATCTGGTTGCCTCATGTAGATGTCTTGTTCAAGATGGCCATTTAAAAATGCCGTCTTAACATCCATCTGCCATATCTCATAGTCATAATAAGCACTAATGGCCAAAAGAATGCGAATAGATTTAAGCATTGCAACTGATGAGAATGTATCCTCATAATCAATACCTTCACGTTGAGTGAAGCCTTTGGCAACCAGTCTAGCTTTGAATGTCTCAACATTCCCATCCATTCCTCTCTTTCGTTTGTAGATCCACTTACAACCAATGGGCTGAACCCCACTAGGAAGTTCTACAACATCCCAGACTTTGTTAGAATACATCGATTCCAACTCTGATTTCATGGCATCTTTCCAATGATTCGCATCTATATCGGTCAACCCTTCCGTATAGCTTACTGGGTCCGACTCATGCTTATCGGGGACGGCCTCATAGACCTCACCCAAAAGTGTGAGTTTTTTGGGTTGGATGATAGTCCTCCCACTACGCCGAAGGACCGGTGCAGGAATCGATGTACTAGATGATGGTAATTCAACATGGACTTCTTGTGTCTCATCATTCTCAGTATTTATATTAGGTGTGTCCACTGGGGGTATCTCTGACGTGCCAACCATCTCCTCTAACACTATCTGGCTACTAGGTTTGTGATTCATAATATAATCCTCCTCCAGGTAAACAGCATGAGTGCTGACAATAACCTTATTGTCCCTGGGATCATAAAATAATCCACCTCTAGTGCCCTTAGGATAGCCAATAAATAAGCATGCATCTGATCTTGCTTCCAACTTATCTGCCTGTTTCTTTCGCACGTGTGCTGGACACCCCCATATATGCATGTGATTTAAACTAGGTTTACGTCCAAACCACAGCTCATATGGCGTTCCTGAAACAGACTTGGATGGAACACAGTTCAAAATATACATCGCTGATTCTAAGGCTAATCCCCAAAATGATAGAGGTAATGTAGCAAAACTCATCATAGATCTAACCATGTTAAGTAAAGTTCTGTTTCTCCTTTCTGCCACTCCATTCTGTTGAAGGCAGTCAGGTGCGGATAACTGGCGCACAATACCCTCATTGACCATATGATCCTTGAACTCCCCCAAGAGGTATTCACCTCCTCGATCAGATCGAAGTGTTTTGATAAGTTTACCTAATTTACGCTCCACTTCCGCCTGAAACTCACGGAATTTTCCATAAGCTTCTGACTTGTGTCGCATTAGGTAAATATATCCAAAACGTGAATAATCATCAATGAAAATGATGAAGTACTCAAACCCTCCTCTCGCTTGGGTGTTCATGGGACCACACACGTCTGTGTGCACCAACTCTAATTGTTCTTTGGCTCTATCTCCTTTGGCTGAGTAAGCCCTTCGAGTCATCTTTCCTTCAATACAGGATTCACAAGTTGGCATAGGCTCCTCTGCCTCACAAGGTAATAAACCTTCTTTAACCAACCTTTGAATCCTATTTTGATTGATGTAACCCAATCATAGATGCCAATGATACAATGAGTTTGGAGAAACTGCTTTTCTTTTAACATTCAATCTAGATGAAGTTGCATTTAATTCATAATTTTGCATTTGATATGAGTTAGGAGTTAAAACATATAGATTATCTTTCAATGCACCAGAAGTTATAACACAACCATTTAATTTAATTAAAACATTTTTTCCAAAAGTAAAAATATAATTTTTGCAAACCAACGAAGAAACTGAAATTAAATTGTGCCTAACATTTGGCGCATAAAGACAATCTTCTAAAATAAGACTCCTCCCACTATCAAACTGCATATGAACCACTCCCACTGCTTTAGCTTCCACCTTGGCATTAGATCCCATATGCAAGTATATCTCTCCTTCATTGAGGCTTCTGGACTCCTGGAATCCCTGCAATGAATTGCAAACATGATTAGTGGCTCCAGAATCTATGCACCAGGAATCTATAGATTCAACCACATTACATGCCTCAACAATGAATATACCTTTTCCTTTGCCTTGTGTGCGAAGTATTGGGCAGTTAGGTTTCCAGTGACCCGGTTGACCGCAATGGAAGCAGTTTCCTTCGCCTTCAACCCGCACTTTCTTCTTTCCCTTATCCTTTTGGATTACTTTGTTTGGCACAACCACAGTTTTGGCACCATCCTTCTTCTTTTTCTTGCCCCTCCTCTTGGGCCTAGAAGTGGATGGTCCAGCAGACTGAGTGTAGTTGATAGATGCACCCTTGCTTTTGTTTATCCCTTCAAAGGTTACCAACTCATTCAATAGTTCAGCGAGTGTGTACTCAAGCTTATTCATATAATAATTAACCCTAAAAGAGTTAAATGAGTCTGGCAATGAAGCGATAATCATGTCAACCTGAAGTTCACCCTCCAAGTTGCATCCAAGGATCTCCAGTTCATTTAAAAAATCAATCATTTTTAAAGCATGTTCCCGAACTGAAGTACCTTGGACCATCTTAATGGTCATCAAATTTGTCATAGCATTTTGGCGTGCGCTCTTACCAATTTGCCCAAACATTTCCTTAAGGTTAAGCATGATGTCTGCAGAAGTGAGATATTGAAGATGTTGACTTTGGAGTACATTCGAGAGTGAAGCAAGAATGTAGCACCTAGTCATCTCATCTGCTTTATTCCATTTCTTAAATACTTCATGCTCCTCAGGAGGATCCTCAGGCAAAGGTGGAGAAGGTCTAGGAGTAGTAAGCACATAATTCAACCCTTCATATGTGAGTACAATATCTAGTTGCCTTTTCCAATCGATATAATTAGGTCCAGTTAATCGATTTTCTTTTAGTATGTTTGCAAGTGGACTGAATGGACTAGTCATGATAAATCTGAAAATAAAAGCATTCATACAATAAATAAAGTGAATAATAATCATGCAAGTATAAAACAATTAATTAATTGTGGGTCCCTTAACCACATTGCATGAAAAATCGGACAATCAATATGCCAATAACTTATCCGGTTGGCGGAATTCATTATTGCTTATTGACGAGAATAACTCATTATTTCCATATCTCTTTAGACAATGCCTTATCTAAATATGAAATAATTCCCGATTAGATTTAGTCTTTCTAAAATCACCTAGTATAGACCACTCCGTTGGGGAGCTAATACTATTGATTTTAGATTGAGTGTATAACATAATTAATGCTCCAACGGAAAAACAAATATTAAATATATTGCCATTAATAGCTTAGACTCTTTAAATCATGCGTAGGGCCTTATTTTTAAAGATCTAACTATAATGGTTATTTAATAAATATATTTTCGTGAGACAACCATTCTTGTAATTTAGACTCTTTAAATCATGCGTGGAGCCTTATTTTTAAAGATCTAATCATAATGGTTATAATTATGAAGGCCATGGGGTAATGTATAAAAAATCCCCGCTCCCACTCAATTTTTAATAATATAAAACTAGAGTTTTTAATTCATGATTTAATGCTTGCAAAACGCCTTGATTTTAATCCAATTAAATTTAGAAAATATATGGATTTTAAATGATTCACTAATCTTTAATTTGAGGCAAAAAATAATTTTTAAAAATAATTTTTCTGTTTCCCAATAAATGCCCTCAAATTAATTAGCAATCTAATCCAATTTATCTTCATAATTTAATTAATATAAATCAAGCCATTTAATTAAAAATCATGGATCCAATGCATGAACAATTATAACAACTATTAAATTATTCCATGCATCAAATAATAGACAGAAGCAATATAAATGGCCAATGGATTCAGCTTTTAACATTTAAAAACTATTCTTGCTGTACGGGAATCCTTCAACTGTCTGTAAACACCCATAGGAAGCTTGTACGCGTCAGGAGAAGCAAAACGCCGCTTGGAACGAGCCCGGAGGACCCCACACGCGCTGGCACGCGCCTAGGGCAAGCTGCACGTGCTCCCACGCGCCCCCACGCGCCGGCACGTGCTTGGGGCACGCGGAATGCACCCTCACGCGCTCCCACGCGCCTGGGGCGCGTGGGACGTGCCTCCACGCGCCTTCACGCGCGTGGAGGTCAAGCTACCTTGGCTGGCGCGTGCAATGCACGCGCTAGCATGTGCACTCTCCTGGCGCGTGTGGAACTCGCGCCAGGCTCACCATCTTGACGCCACACCTGATCCGGGCCACCTCCGACGCCCCTTTTCGCCGCCGGCGAAGCTCCGGCCACCGGAAAAACGCCAAAAAAATTCCAAAAAATCCAGAAAAATCCCAGAAAATTAAATTAAGCCTCAAAAAATTCCCGAAAAATTCGAAAAAATTCCAGAAAATTACTGAAGCATAATTTAACCCTTTCGGACCCTCTTGAAGCTTCATAGCATCCTTTGATGAATATTACATGGCTTTAATAAATACTTACAATTTGAAATACAATGGAAAAAATTAAATTACATCATTGAATTTTCAAACGGCTAAAACAAAGCCTTAATTACATTCATCCAAAAATAAAATTACATTCTATATACCTATAAGCTTCATCCATGTCCCAAACACACATCATCATCCATTCACAATTATACATACATCAACATGTATTAATATATATCAACATAATAAATCATACATCAACATATATCAATAATTTTATATATGTATATATAATTTGGATCCATGAATATGATTTTTATAAACACATGTTCTCTAGTAATAAATCAAACCATGTGCTCTGATACCACTGTTAGGAAACGTGCAAATTTTTAAAACTTTTTGAGGGATTTGCAATCATAGATCTTGATTCATTACATGGAGACAAGTTTTATGCAAAGATAAATAAAAGATGATGCATAATTCAATAAACAGATTGAATACTTACATCAAAGGTCTGAGTAAACCTTTTGAACTTTCCTCTAAAGTGAATGTTCTCACTTATTGTAGATCCATTTAGCAAGATCATTTCTCCTTCTTTTTGATTATTATCTTCCCTTTAGGAATCACCAATATGCCTTGATAAATGACCTTGGAATCTAGGCTGGTGGTAGCCTCCTTTAGAAGAGAAACAAAACCCTAAAATCTAGAGAGAGAAAGTGTATTCCTTTTACTTGTTCTTCAAGTCACACCTAAAATATACATGAACTCATGTATATATAGGCAAAATAAAAATAAGAATAAGGAAACAATAAATCATTCTCCATCTCTAATTCAACTTTCTCAATCCTAACATGACTCCAATATCAACTTGGGCTATTGGTGAGAATCCTCCTGGGCTTACTATTTTCTTGGCTCTTATAAATTAATAATTGGTCCGGTCCATTAAACCATGGACCCAATTCAATTAATTCATAAATTAATTTCTGCTCCACTAAAAGAAATTAATTGCACTCCAATTAAATAGTAAATAATCTCTAAGTCAATGTCGCACTTTGACCCCTCTATGCTTAATTATTTATCGGATAATTAAAGCCGTCAATTCGACAACATAATTAATATAATTATTTTGTTACCTTTGATTAATTCCGGTTCGATCACAATAAAATATTTATTTGACAAAAAATAATAATAATTTATTAAATAAATATATATATAAAACATTTGTCTAAAACATATGAAGGCCTTCGAATTTAATTTGTGATCAACCATAATCAAAACAAAATAAATACAAATAGCACTGATGCAAATATTGAGAATATAGACCTCTAATTATTAATTACATAACTACCCAAAGTGTCGATCTAAGGATCCCGAGGTATCCGCCGAACAAATCAAAGTAATTATTAATTAATAAAAGAGTCTATACTTCTCTCATGCTTGAGAGTCAAAAGCCATGACTGTGATAGAGAGCAATTGCATACGACAGCTCTCGCAATATATCTCAATCTATCGTGGACCCGGTTTAAGTCTTAACTAATTAAATGTCCATCCATAATTACCGACTTTAAACCATTTATGATTACTAATTTATATCATAGTATTAATTGCCATTACATACATATATAAATATATTTTGTAATCAAGCGGACACCATCAATTTCATAAAGAATCGAAAAATAATACATTTCATTCACCAATTGTATAATGCTTTAATAATAATATTCAGACAAGAAACCATGACTTTTACAATCCAAAATTAGAATTTGCTATGTTAGGGCACACATATCCTAACAAAATGATCTATAGTTCCACCAAGGAGACCGATGTCATCTGAAACAAATATGAAGAGACAGTCATCAAATGAGCAATCGTTTTATTATTACAAGGATTGCATGTCAGCAAGTGACAAAAGGTTTAAAATTGCTGGAAAACTAACCTTCCGTTAGAGTGCCTTTACCAAATTCATCCAACAAGCATAAAGACTCTGAAGTTGCATGCCTGTGAATATATTCAGCAGATATAATAAAACGTAAAAGTTTCTAGTTAAAATATATTTATTCAAAGAAAAGCATCCTTGCATTGAGAAACGAGGAATTCTGCTACTCTGGCACCCCAAATTTCATATCCATAATGGTGGTGTTAGGTCAATGGCACTTATGGTGGTGTTGGTCAGGGTTGAAGATATAATTTAAGCTTCAACCAAGGGCAAATGCGTAATCTTTTACGTCAAGAGTATAAAGGTAACTTGACACTTCAATGTACTCGTCAAAGAGGATGCCAAGGGTGCATAACTGGAAGGGCCAGGCCGTTGTTTTAGGAACCCAGGCCTGAGCCCGCCTGGCTTTGACCATTCAACGGGCCGGGCCAGAAGGCATTTTAAGAATCCCAGGTCAGCCATGGGCTCTGGGATGGCGGGCTGCAGGCTTGGAACAGGCCGAGCTGCATGTTTAGAGCGGGCATTTTTTTTCCTCCAAAGAGAACGGGCCGGCTACTTGACTTATATATATATTATAAATACAATGATTTGTAATTGTAATTATGTCAGTAACATAAGTTTGAAAAGTTCAAACTTGATCCACCTGTTAGCAGGTTAACATAAGTTCGGGCCGGGCTTGATTTAGAAAAATATATATTGAACTTCATGAAATGACAAGTATAATTATTTGCATGGAATGATAAAAAAATTAAACTCGTAATACTCGAAGTAAAGTAATAAGTATGACAATTTGCAGCATGTGCAACAGATATCCGCTGCGTCACATGACCTTGCACAGTGCATGAGTCATAAGTGACGATTCTCATGACTCGATGGATTCGATTATTTTTCTATTAATGAAGCATTCAGTTTATTAACTTGTTTTTGTTGGGGGCACACTTAAGCAAATAACAATAACAACTAACAAGAAGAAAATCAATCACAAATCACAACATAAGATATACGTGGTTCACCCTAACTTTTGGTTACATCCATAAATGAGGAGATTCCACTATAGTCATGTTAAGATATTACAATAGTAAATAATTTC